TTTTTATTTTGATTGCAGTGTTGAATGGCTTAAATATAATAATTGTATAAAAATATCTTGTTATTGAAATATGTCTAGTTTACTGCCTTCTATTGCGTAATCACTTTTTCTGTAACAAGGTTTTCACAACTTCTTTGGAAGAGTCAAACTCTCTCGGAAGCCTACCTTTTCATTTTGATTGCAGTATTGAATGGGTTGGGTATGAACCATTTAATCCGAACTCGAAGATCAAGATCATGCTTTACATTAGGGTTTGCATAGTTTTTTAAAGCGGAGGAATCCCATAATCTTGCATTGTAATGTGGCTCAGTGTCTTTGGACACAATTATTAGACACTTTGGGGCTTGTTGGGTTCATCCCCCTATATTAAGGGGTTTATTTCTTAGGCTTATAGTTTTTCGCAGATGACGCCCTCATTTTCTGTCATCCTGACATTCGCTCACTGATTTTCTTGAAATGTACTTTATTATACTTCCAAGCGGTTTCTGGTTTAAAAATCAATCTTCATAAATTTGAATTAGTGGTGATGGGTTCTCAATCTGATGAATTCCTGGAACAAATTCTGGGTTGCAAAGTTTCTCAATTACCTAACTTGTACCTTTGCGCTCCCCTTGGGGTCAAACACAAATACATAAAAGTTTGGAATCCGATCTTTGATATGTTTCAAAACCGACTTGCCAACTGGAAGAGGAAATTCCTATCGAAGGGGGATGTTTAACTCTCATTAAAAGCACCCTATATAATCTCCCTATTTATCTCCTTTTGGTGTTAAGCATTCCAACTTGTGTTGCAACACTTTGGAATTCATTCAGTGTAACTTTCTCTGGGGAGATGAAAATAGTAACAATAGGACAATCCACCTTGTAAACTGCATAGAAATCAAGAAATCTATTAAAGATGGTGGTTTGGGTTTGATATTTGTGAATACACTTAACAAGGCCCTTCTTGGGAAATGGATTTGGAGATTCTGGAACAAAGGTAATAGTCTATGGAAATCAATTGTGCAAATGGTTCAACGGTGACTATTATGATCAATGTAGAATTAAAAATAGCACATTTGGTTTGAGCATTTGGAAGAACATTTGAAAATTAAACAAATATCATTTTACAACACTCTAATTGGGTTATTAGGAATGGCAACAAAATAAGATTTTGGTCTGACATATGGCATGACAAGTCTACTCTTTAAACAAGATTCTCTCTTATTTATGCTATTGTTAGGGATAAAAATATTTTGATTAAATACGTTGCAGTTCTTGACAATCAAGACTTTTGGCAGGTGTCAGTATTCATAAACTTACAAGATTGGGAGTTAGAGGAATATTTATTCTTATTTCAGACTCTGTCTTCAATTCAAGTCTATGACACGAAGGACAATTTGAAATGACTACTCTCCAAAAATGGTACTTTTACTGTTAGATATCTCTACAACCACTTGGCGGGCAATCTTAATCAGAACAACATTAGCTTCCCTTCCAACATAATATGGAAATCGGGTGCAACTCCAAGAATTTCATTTTTTGCTTGGGAAGCTATAAAAGGCCGCATTCTTACCATTGACAACCTAATGAAAAGAGGTTTCATGATCGCCAATAGCCGTTTCCTTTGTAAAAACAATTTTGAAACCTGTAACCACCTATTTTTAGGCCTGTTCGGTTTCACAGCACTTATGGAATACCATTATTAGTCTTATGGGGCTATCTTGGGTCACGAACAACAACATTCATGCTTAACTCCTAGCATGGGAAGGCTTCAGTAGTAAGAGGAAAATGTTAACATTAATTCCGCTCACCATAATATGGCTCCTTTGGAAAGAGAGAAACAATCGCGCTTTTGAAGGAATAGAACTTGATTTTAACAAACTCATTAATTGTTGGTTTCACTATTTTGGGTCATAACATCGATTGTCTTGATGATTTTGGTTTTGTTGTCGATAGTTTAATCGACTTATAAATACATTGTAAATGGGCTTGTGCTCCCTTGACACTCTAATATTAATACAACTTCACACTTTTATTTCAAAAAAAAAAAATATTCTTATGCTTATAATGGTGTCAGTAGGAGAAAGGAGATTAGAACTTTGAGGAGTGGAGCTATATTTGCTGTGTGGTTGATTTGATTTGGTGAGAAATGCCAGAATCTTTCATGATTGTTTGTCTCCTTCAATGCTTCTTTGTGATAGGCTTTCTTGTTTGGTGTCTCTTTAGGGCCAAGCTGCAGGCATTTTAAAGATTTTTCATTGTATAGTTTACAATGGATATTCCTTGATTTGTGGCGACTCTTCCCATCTTATGTTTCTTTTCCTTTTACTCTCCTCTTTTGTGAGGATATCTAATCCTTTTTGCTGTAATTCTTACTTACTCCAAAGAACCTTTTCTAGAAAAAGAAGTATGTGAAAACTAAATATTTAAAAAACACAAAAAAAACTACTAAATCGTAATAGATTCTTAAATAATAATATAGGTCCATATTTAAAAGAATTACGATCTCTAATTATTTAAGAGATCCTTGTCGATATCTCGAGAAGATTGCTCCATCAAGGTTGTTGATTGTGGACCTAAGGGTCCAGTCACTAGTTGCTCTCTTTAAGATTGTATCGGGTGCTTGAGTAGACTATTTTACTGAATTAGAGTAATTTTTTTTTGGAGAAGGGAGATTCCTTATGCCTCTCTTATCTAGGAAGGGGTGGAAGAAGGTCAAAAATCAACCAAGGATTTGAGACTATTTTGTTAGGTCGTGATATTATTAGTAATGAGGGTTTTGAGAATGTCATTGATATACTAACTCTTATGTGAATCTTTTGTATATAGGCGTTACCCCCATTTTGGTACCTTGTTAATATAATACATCATACTCTTTATTTAAAAAAAAATTGAATTATTAAGAGTGATATAACCAGGTGAATTTGCTTTTTTAGACAAGCCTACGGAGAGGAAAGGCTTTGGTGCTAGGTGGAGGAGTTGGATCTACTGGTGTCTTTCTTCTGTGTTCATTATTGTTATAGTGAATGGCAATCCTAGATCTTGATTATATGGGAGCAATAGTGGTTAGGAGGATCTCCTCATGACTATGTGGATGTTTTGAGTTGTATGTTATCTTGTGGCATGAAGAGAAGTGTGCTAGATTGTTGTGCGACTGGTTCGAGGTCCCCACATCCAGTTTGCTGAGGCAATCCTTTTCCTTTCCCATGACCGTGTGAAATTTTTATGCAGTTGTTTTATTATATTTTAGGTTTGCATATTAGTCTTAGGAAGAATGATCTTGTCTGTATTGATGTGAAGGAGCAAATAGTTAGAGAGTTGGCAAGTCAATTGGGTGCAATGTCTTAGAGTGGCCTATTGATTTTCCTGATGCCCTTTTGAGGAGCAATCTTTGTCTTTTCGGAATCTAGTTGAGAAAAGGATCTCTAATTGTCTCAAGTCTTGGAGAGACCAAGAATAATCTTCAAAGTTCCTCTAGGTCTCTCGTTGTCATCTTGAGGGATTTCTTTCTTCTGCCTTCCATGGTGTTGGTAGGAGGAAGGGGGTTAAGTCTTTGTGCTGCAAAGCTCTTTTTGTTAGCTTGTGGGTGTTGTCTTTGGAGAGACATGCTAGGATTTATTTCTGTTCTTGCACATTTGGAATCAGTTTTCCTTTTTTGGCACATTTAAAGATTATTCATTACCCATTTTACATAGAGATTGGCAGGCTATCCTTTATTAAGCGATGCTACTTTTTATCATTTTTTAAAATTTCTTTTGTTCGTAACTGGTCCTTCCTGGGATCCTGTTTCTATTTGTAATATTAGTTCTTCTATGAAAAAAAAAATCAAAATTTCCCTTTTAGCAGTACGCTAAAGAGGATTGGTTTTTTTCCTTCTTCAGATATGAACCAATTCTCATACAAGAAATGCTCACGCTTATTATACAAATTTTACAAGAAAGGCGCTTTTGTGGGTTAACCACATCTGAAAGTTTGAGGAGAGAATTGATTTACAAGTTAGCTATTGGAGATGCCACTCGTAGTCACTTGGTCAAATCTCTGCCACGCGATCTTTCCAAGTCGGATCAACTTCAGGAGATGTTGGATACAGTTGCTGTATACTCTAATCCGTCTGGTTTCAATCAGGTTTGGTTTTGGCACTAAATATCTGATTCAATTGTGTGCTGACGCATTTTGTAGTTGGGCTTATATTTGCCTGTATATCAGGGGACTTATTCCTTGCGAGCATCTTATTGGAAGGAACTGGATTTATACCACCCTCGTTGGAACTCAAGAGATCTGCAAGTTGCAGAAGAAAGATACTCACGCTTCTGTAATGTCTCTGCGTTAACCACTCAGCTGCCCAAATGGACAAAGATATATCCTCCTCTCAAGGGGCTAGCTAGAGTTTCTACTTGTAAAGTGGTCCTTCAAATCATTAGGGCAGTGTTATTCTATGCTGTTTTTACTGATAAATTCACTGAATCCCGTGCTCCTGATAGTGCTGTTATAACTGCTTTGCACTTGCTGTCATTAGCATTGGATATTTGTTTCCAGCTTAAGAAGTTTAATGGTCTAGCATGCCAAGCTGAGGATTTGATTCCCATGCTAGCTTTTGCCGGTGAAGAAATTGGGGAAGGATTTGATTGTGCTGGCAGTAGACAAAGTTTGCTGTCACTTCTAGTTGCATTGATGAGGATCCACAAGAAAGATAGCCTGCAGCGCTTTTTGGAACCCGGAAACTATGATCTTTATTCATGGATTGAGAGTTTATTAAAGAAGTTCGCCGAGCTTGATTCTGGGTGCATGATGAATTTGCAAAAACTTGCTCCTGAAGTGGTTAGTCATTTATCAGAGCCTTTTTCAGATCGTGACATAAATATTCAAGGATCTGTGTCTGATAGTGAGAAACGCAAAGCCAGAGCAAGGGAGAGACAGGCTGCCATATTGGTAACATGTGATTCCTGTTATATATGTTTTGCTATTATTTGTTTTTCATTGAAATATGAATTCCTGGTCGACAAACTAATTCTAAGTTATGGACTACTCAGCTAGAATTGTATTCTTAGCCAGATAGATCCTCCTGCTAGTTTTGCTTTGCAGGATAATTTTCATAATTTAAAGGACACAATGGGATCTTCTGTTAAAAAATGATAATGACAATAAATAGAAGACCAACATAAGGCTCTGAATGTGTTTACTATTCTGTCTGCTGCTAAGTATGGATCAACTTTGTTAGACTTACATGATTTGCTATGCAGGAAAAAATGAAAGCCGAGCAGTCGAAATTTTTGTGCAGCATTGGTTCCAGCATAGATGATTCTTCTGAGTCTGGGCTTGAAGCGAGTAATACTGAAATGCAAAGTTCCGAAGATACCATTACTGTACAAGAAGTTTGCTCTCTCTGTCACGACCCTAATTCCAAGGATCCTGTTTCTTTCTTAATTCTGCTGCATGTAAGGAACATTATTTGTAGTCTGCTATCATATGAGATTATTGATAGATTATAATCCGATAAACTGACTATAATCTCTTCTTGTGTCTAGAAATCTAAGCTTTTAAGCTTTGTAGACAGAGGTCCCCCATCATGGAACCGGGTTCTTCGGTCCGATAAAGAAGTCTCTATCACAAAAAACAAGCCAAGTGATCTATCGAGAGAGGACTTTCATCAAGTTAACTCTAGAGTGGGTTCCTCGTCACAAGCTGAGCATGCAACTAATGAATCTGCATACAGTGAGCAACACGGGGAGGTAAATGCTATCCTTGAATTTCTCAAGGCTCGATTCCCATCACTGAAAAATAGTCATGCAGCAAGCACTTCGAATGATGGGTGGGGCAATGCTCTTCATGAGTTTGTGATGTTGGAAGAAGACATGTACCTCTCCATTCACAAGAAAATGCAAGACTCTATGTCATATGCAAATCTCGTGGAGGATGTTGGTGAATGCTCTGTTACTGGAGATGATGTGAAATTTGCAACAGATGGTGCTCATTCTGTGTTGCTTGGTAATTATATTGACATTCTCTCTCGAGAGATGACTAGGAACACATCAGTGTCTGATAATTTTCTCAGTGATAAAATGCTAGTAGAATCTGTACAACTGCCAGTTTTTGATGGTTTTGGCCCTGCTGATTGTGATGGCATCCATCTGTCTTCTTGTGGGCATGCTGTGCATCAGGGTTGCCTTGATCGATATCTTTCTTCTTTAAGAGAGAGGTAACTCCTTTTGGGAAGAAAAGTGCATTTTTTAAATTGTTGTCATTTTTTGTGATGCAGAATAAATTAGCCATACATTTGGTAAATAGATTAGAAATTATAATTCTGTCAAATATAAACTTACTATACTCTTTATATTTTTTAAAAAATTATTATAATATTTAGAAGTCTATTGTTATAATTTAGGGCTTTAAGACATTGTTCTTATTAGTATTCAGTTTTCTTATTTGCACTAAAAGTAGTATTTCTAATCGTATTACTTGGCACTCTATAAATGCTTTTGAAATTTTCTTGAGATTATCGTTCTACTATGCAATAAAATACATCTTAAGTGTTTCTCAATTTTTTAGTTGCGTGATACCTTTAAATATGGTGCTTAAGACTCCCTACTTACTCCTAATTTATCCTACATTTGGCTTCTGGTACAATCCCATATGTAGCATGAGGATATGGGTTGAGATTGGAATTTAAAATTCAAGGCTCAACATAGAAAACTCACCAGTCTCTCGAGTTAACATTCTTTGCTATCTTTCTTTAATTAATTATTCTCCAATTATTTTGTTTAAGCAATCTGTAAGATGAATGCTTAAGACTACCACATAACCCTAATTTATTCTACTTCATTTTGCTTCCGGTACAATCCCAGATCTAGGATGAGGTTATGGGTTGAGATTGTAATTTAAAATTCAAGGCTCAACATAGAAAACTCATCAGTCTCTAGAGTTAATATTCTTTGCTATCTTTCTTTAATTAATTATTCTCCTATTATTTTGTTTAAGCAATCTGTATACATAGGCAAGCTCTAGCTTAAGTTTTCCCATTTTAACAGATATAAGAACTTCCCACATATGGGGGGGAGGTTGGTTGGTATGTGAGGGTTAAAAGAAATTTGAAGGACTGGGAAGTGGAAGATATTGTAACTTGTTCTGTGTTTTGACCAATATTATTAAGCTGATGGAGAATGGTGACAGCAGAATTTGGAAACCTGACGAGCAGAAGGGCTTCTTGAAGAAGTCCTATTACAATTACTTATGCAAAATAGAGTGTGGTTTTGAGCTGACAGCATCTTACAATCAGATATGGAAATTAAAAGATCATCCCATAATGTCTTTTTTCCCTTGGGAGACTGCTGGATGAAGTATCATTACTATTGATATGTTGAAGAGAAGAGACAACATTTTAGTTAACAGATGCTATCTTTGCAAAAGTGTTGAGGAATCATGTAATTATATCTTACTCAATTGTCCGGTTGTTTGCAGCATTTGGACAACTATTTATGGGATTATGGGGATGAATTGGGTTATTGTGGATTTGGTTGGCAAGGAACTTTGGGCGTGGTTGGGTATATGCAAAAAGAAAAAACTTTTATTCTTAGTTCCGCTTACTATTTTTTGGGTAGTGTGAAAGGAAAAAAATACGAGAATTTTTGAGAATATTGAAACTGATTTTGTAAAAATTAAAGATAGATGGATTAATATTTTTGGTTTTATATTGTTGGGTCATGACATAAAAGATTTGGGAGAGATTGAAATAGTCATTGACCACTTGATTGATATATAATTAGTTTGTATATGGACGGTACCCCCTTGATATTATTGTTCATAATAATATATTTTTTTTTTATTTTTTTAAAAAAGAAACTTCCCACGTATAAAATTTCTAATTATAAGGAATTTCTGTTTTATCCCGAGTGTTAGTGGGTTTGAGTGCCGGAGGTGGAGAGAGGGGGTAGAGTGAAGATGGTTCAGAGAGTCTTGAAGAGGGAAGGCAGTGGGGAAGAGGGGAAATCGCTGGCGCACCATTTGAACTGAACAGTGTCGCAGTGAAAGGTAGATACGGTGGTTGGAACTGGGGGGAGCATGG